AGAAAAAAAGTGTTTGCTATTTGTGATGTCATCAAACACTTAGTTTTAGTGGAATTGCAGGAACCACAGACGTCTGATTGAAAATTGGAATGTTGCTATCAGTGTCCCTGATACACATAAAAAATCGAGAAAACCTCTTTACATTCCCTTTAAATATTTTTTTGGATTAATTGATTTTTTTCAATAGGTCGTAGTAAAACAAGTACAGATTTAATCTTAGATGATAACGTGGAAACAGACACTTTACTAGGTGATGGCAAGACTGGAATATTTAACTCTCAAATAATGCCTGATGTTGTTTCTAAAAGTAGACAAGTTCGTCCAATCTCATCTAAACCAAGAGGCTTGTCATCTGGACCTATACTCAATAATACAGATGTAAGTTTAATTTTATTGTTCTGGACTCACAAAGGCACATGGCAAGGCCTCAACAATTAGTTATCAAAATATTTGCTTTACAAGCTGATAGATTTCATTTTCAGCTATCTGTAGCACTTACTAAAATCAAAATTTTGTGTTTTGTGCACTATGATTCACAACGATTGGAAACGAAACAACAACAGCCTAAGCTTTCAAGGTGCACTTTTTTCAGTCTAATTAAAATTAGACCAAACTTTTCTTCCGTTTTTTTTTAATAGCTTTATTTTTTAATTCAACCACTTCAGTTAGGGTCTAACTAAATCCCTCTTGAACATTCATCGAATTAACCTTTTGACATAACCTGATAAACACAGGGTCACAAAATGCCAGCACTGGAGAGAAGGAGAAATTTGATTGGTTAAAGCAAACGTCATCATAAATTGATGAACATTGAAAAGGGCTGTTGTTAGACCTTAGTTGAAATGGCTATATTAAAAATAAAAGCTTATAAAAAGAAACGGAACTAAAGTTTGATTTAATATTTTTAATTGAAGGAGAAATTTTTAAAATTTAGACATAAAATGAAATTATTTGATTTTAGGACAGTTCAAGAAGGAGGGCACCAAAATCTCGCCAAACGCCTTCAAAGATATCATCAATCCACTCAGACAGTTTCCATAGCAACCATGGACATGGTGGATCTTCAAACAGACATTATCAACATATGGATACTGACATTGAGTTAGATGGTAGAAGTTCCAGACTGGGAAATCATAGTTCCGATTCTTTGCTTGGGGAATCTCTACATATTTCCAAAATGACCCCTCGTAAACACCATGAGACCATCAGCCACTTATTAGAAACCGCTGAATCCAAGACCAATGAGTTAAACCGGAAAGCTAAAACCAATGAAAATGGCATGTATAGTGTAGAATCTTCTAGTATGGCTTCTGATAGACCTGCTAGTAGAGGTAGTCAGCGGAAAGGCAGTCTCAGGTATGAGCAAGACTTATCTTTGTGTTATATCTAGGTTGTAGATGCAGTCTAGTAGAATTAGACCACTTCAGTTAGGGTCTAAAGGCAGGCCTATTGGATATTTGTCAGCCAATCAAATTTCTGCCCTGTCCAGAGTTTGGGATTTTGTTACGCAAAGAAAAGGTGCATTCAGTGTCTAATGCGTCTCAGAATTCATCTTCACTAAATCCCAAACTCTGGACAGGGCAGAAATTTGATTGGCTGGCGGTATCAACAAACAGGCGTATGTTCAAGACCCCTTAAGGCCCTCTTTAGACCATAACTGAAGAGGCTATATTCAAAACAAAACGAAAGTTTGGTCTCATTTTGATTAGACTGGTTGTAGCTAGTTTTTTTTCCATTTTGCCATGCTGTGCTTTTTATAAATCCCTTGGCAGAGGCTTATGCTGCTGTCATTACAAATTTTCTCAGTTGCACACTGCATAGTGTTCATAAGTTAAATAGTTTAATTTGTTACTATATAGATCTCACTCTGATTTTAGCAACAAGACCACTGTGGGAGATGTTGAATTTGGTGATGTTGATGACCTTGAAAGTGATTTAAATGACCTTGACCTTCAATCTGTGAAGCTACAAAAACCAAATATACGCAACATGACAAATATCACCTGCCACCCAATTGATACCCAAACAGCAATAGTGAGTTCAAAACATTTTTAAGCATTACAATAGCTAGATTGAGTAAAAAACTTTTTCAAACTTAATTGTTACCTTAAACTGCTTTCTTTAAAGGGATTGTAAAGAGGACACTGATAGCATCAATTTGCATCATTCCAATTTTCAATCAGACATCAGTGGTTTCTGCACTTCCAATAAAACTAAGTGTTTGATGATGTCACTAATTGTGTATGTAATATAGCACATTTTGCGATTATTAGTGACGCCATAGAACACTTAGTTTTTGCGGAATTGCAGGAACCACAGACGTCTGATTAAAAATTGGAATGATACAAATTGATTCTTTCAGTGTCCCCGATACACATAAAAAATGTAGAAAACCTATTTTCAATCCGATCCATCAACACAAGAGGAACTGATATCACTCTAGTAATGAGTTTGGCTACTGGGTGTCTGTTTAATAGAGTTCACATAGTTACTAATGATTTTGGGGTATTTATTGTATTTCAGTCATTACGCAGTCTGCTGTTTGGATCAGCTCTGGTTAGTTTTAATGATGAATGGAAGAATCAGAGTTTATGTTTCTGTGATATTCCATCATTACTATATGGCATTGTACAGAAAAAGGTTTGTTTTCATAGTACTCTGATGGTTTAAACTGCTACTAACTAGCTTTACTATAAAGCTTTACTTTCTTCAAACAAAGGGCCAACACACAATATCCTGTTTCTGAGACTAAGGTACGATAGGTCAAGAGAATGGCGTAACCGTCCCTTTAAAGTATGATATGCATTTTTTAGACTTTTGTTTGAAATTATTAGATGACTTATTTATATACAGGGTGGTCCATGTGGTGTTCTAGCTGCTATACAGGCGTGTTTACTAGCAGAAATGTTATTTAGTGACACCAAGCTACCTTCAAATAGATGGTAGGTATATGAATAAATGAATTCTTCAGTTTTAAAAGATTCAAAGACTATTTTCTATCTGAAACATGTACAAGCAGGATATTGTGCTCTAAGAAAAGAAAGAAAGAAACAACTATATTTTACAAGGATAACAACTTAGGTTTACAATTAAGGATCCTTTCTACCAGCTGATCCTTGGCCAAACCTCTTGGCATCAATCTTTCCAGGATTATCTGTACTCATTTACAGCTGGGTTGACTGGCATTAAGAGTGAAGATGACTTATTCAAGGTCATCAGAATATCACACGCCGATTGAGATCGGAACCCACAGTCACTATTTGCTCGACGTAACCAAGCAAATGATGTCATGACTGTAAAGAATCAACTCACTAACCGACTGTGCTATAGAACCCAACAGCCTAGAGTCATTACAATTTCTTTTGTTTCAGTTTTAGTCCTACAAGACAAGAAAGATCTCGATTTTTAGCTGCTGCATTGAGTAAGATATTATGGAGAGCAAGTAGTAAAAAAAAAACAATAGTTGTTCTGTAAGTAATGCTTCAATCAGGGGGTAATTTTATAAGGGGATAATAGGTGAATAAGATTCTTTTTAGTGCAGTATAAATTTAGTTTGATTAGATAGTTTGGTTAGATAGCTTGGTTAGATAGTTTGGTTAGATAGCTTGGTTAGATAGTTTGGTTAGATAGCTTGGTTAGATAGCTTGGTTTGGTTAGATAGTTTGGTTAGATAGTTTGGTTAGATAGCTTGGTTAGATAGCTTGGTTTGGTTAGATAGTTTGGTTAGATAGTTTGGTTAGATAGCTTGGTTTGGTTAGATAGCTTGGTTAGATAGCTTGGTTAGATAGCTTGGTTTGGTTAGATAGTTTGGTTAGATAGTTTGGTTAGATAGTTTGGTTAGATAGTTTGGTTAGATAGCTTGGTTTGGTTAGATAGCTTGGTTAGATAGCTTGGTTAGATAGCTTGGTTTGGTTAGATAGTTTGATTTGATAGTTTGGTTAGATAGTTTGGTTTGATATTCTTATATAATATTTCAGGCCATCAGGAAAATCTCATGTTGTATCTAGTGGTAAATATAAACCTGACAGAATAACTGAAATGGTAACTATTTATCTTTCATAGTAAATTTAACTTTCAAATATTTCAAATTATAACTTAAAGGGACAGGTGTGAATTTGGTCTTGAATATATGTGAACAGTCTTCAGAAGTACTAGAAATGTAAGAAAATCACACAATTTAAAAATAAAAACTAGGAATTTTACTCACTATTTCTATATGATGTCTTTTCTATATATCACATGGTATCTTAAATTGACGAGTCGTCATTTTAACATTCAAACGCAAATAATTTTGGAAATACATGGAGTTGAAGACTCAAATTTCTACAGTGGATGAGAACACTATTACTAATAGTTTAGCTAGAAAAATTCCAGTTTTTGAGACTTAAGTAAGATTGGTCAAAAAATGTCGCATCTGTCCCTTTAAGATTTTATTGTAGACAAACATTTTTAATATAATATTAAGAGATAAGATATAACTTGTCTTTTTCAGCTGAATTTATACTCATTTAATAATTTTGAAGATTTACATGACTTTATGCAACAAAATATATCGCAGGTATGTGTCTAGCCCTATAAAACCTGGCCCCACCAAGTTCCTCCGACATGATATTTGGATGGGATATCGGAACTGGGTTTAGGTATTAGGGGATGAAAGCCGAAACCAGAACGACTCTTGAAAGAGGCACAGGCATCAGAGTTTTTGTTACCTTGAGAACCCACAGCACCTAATCGCTTAGCAGACGACAATCCAATGTTTAGGAATTTTAGGTTGTAACATTGCGATTAAGTAATGTTACGAAAGCACAGGCACAGGCATGTAGGGCGAGACATATTATTTTAATTATCGTTTGAGTTGCTCCGATCCATTTTTGAGAATTTCCACTATGTTAAAAGCCCAGTTTAGCAACTTTTCAAAGTCATTAGAACACTTTTAATAAATGAAAGTTGGGGAACCCATCTTTAAGAATGGATTATATTTATTGTAGTTTGAAATAGATGGTAACAATGGAGTTATATTAGTATTATATTCTGCTATCTTATCACGGGGCATTCAAAAGTAAGTCATAACTCTTTGTGTATTTTTGATACAGTCTTGATAGAGATAACGGTTATTCCCTTGACCTATTCGCTACTTAACAACAATATTCTCTGGATAAAGCCCTTACTTCCATTTTTAGTTAAAACGACTCCATTTATCAGCTATCTGTTTACTTAATAATCTTCACGAACTGATAGAAAATTGAACATTTTTCGCACTCACGGATGTTGTACGGATCTTAAAAAAGCAAGAATGACGTCAAGATATTCCCAGAAAAGGAATTTTGCAACAGTCATTGGCTGGATTATCTCTTTACACATGGTTAATTACATACAAATGCAGTTGGTATGTTGCGAGTATGTCAGCCTCGGCAACTGTCAAGACTGAATTCAAAATACAGCAACTCTTTTGAGGCGTCATAGTTTCTCATAGAGAGAGAGTAAATTTGCCCCACTTACGCTTATATTTTCACAAATTGATATACACAATTGATATACAGTGGAGCCTTGTTTATCCGCACATTTCGGTTCCTGATAAAATCCTGCAGTTTAATGAATTTCGCACTGTGAATTTCTACGGCTCTAAGGATTAATATATGCTTATTTCATATTTTTTGTAGAGTAAAGAATGATTTTGATGAAGCTGGATTAAAATTAATGGCCCAACATGGTTATTGTACGCAGGTTTGTATGTCTTTTTTTAGATATACAATAAATGGAATCAGCAAGTGAAATTATATTCCACATGTGAAAAAGTAGTAGGTGTAGACAGAATTCAAAATAGCGGAGAAGGAAATTGATAGGAAAATTTTGATTGTGAATATATCAGATTACATAGAGTTCGATTGAGGGCAGGATTGGAACAGATGGAACCTGTTCAGAACTCTCCAATCGAACGCCACCTGGGTATGATCGACTTTATGAAATGAGTTCAATAATGTTATTTCAAGACTTTAGGTGAGGTTGATATTATGAAGTTTTATTGCAGGAAATGGTAAATCTATTATTAGGTGGTAAAGGTGTATCTAATGTATTTAATGATACGGTTGAACTAGAATCTGGTGGAGTTATAACTGTATTAAAAGGAATTAGTAGCAGATCAGAGATTGGGCTCTTATCATTGTTTGAACATTATAAATCCTGTCAGGTAAGTAAGCTTTGAGGGGTCTGCTTGATTGGTGAGTTCTTTTCAATGGATGACGTAATTTGCGTTATGAACCTCGCTTTCAGTGTCTCAAAAACGAGGCATGAAAAAGGTCTATAGCCATCATGGCCAAACACCTCCCCCCCACCTGTCATACTTCCTCAAAGCTGTGGTATTACAAGTGAGATCCAATTAAAATTGACCCTGAATCTTTCTAGGAAATCTCAGCCAATCAAATCAAATCACTTGCTATAGACGCAGACAGTACAAATTTAAGTAACAATTTTGGTAAAGATTTGAAGCTTACATGACTTTCAGTTCCAATCCCCTTCAACTACGATTAGTCGAATTAAATCATATTTCCATACCCACAAACCGAAGTGTAGCATTCTTGGTTTAATACTGGTTAATGAGACCATGGCAAACTCTGTTTTTAGGATACAATGGTCTTCTCCCTCGCTCTCTTTCAGGTTGGAACGTTTTATAAGACACCTAAATATCCTATATGGGTGGTGTGTAGTGAAAGTCATTTTAGTGTTCTATTTTCTAATAAACGTGAGTTATGTAATGATTGGAAAGCAGAAAGACATTTTGATTTATATTATTATGATGGTCTAGCTAATCAACAAGAAGAAATTAAACTCACTATAGGTAGGTTTGATATATATATTTTTAAAAATTAAACTCACTATAGGTAGGTTTGATATATATTTTTAAAAATTAAACTCACTATAGGTAGGTTTGATATATATTTTTAAAAATTAAACTCACTATAGTTAGGTTTAATATATCTTTTTAAAAATTAAACTCACTATAGGTAGGTTTGATATATATATTTTTAAAAATTAAACTCACTATAGGTAGGTTTGATATATATTTTTAAAAATTAAACTCACTATAGGTAGGTTTGATATATCTTTTTAAAAATTAAACTCACTATAGGTAGGTTTGATATATATTTTTAAAAATTAAACTCACTATAGGTAGGTTTGATATATATTTTTAAAAATTAAACTCACTATAGGTAGGTTTGATATATCTTTTTAAAAATTAAACTCACTATAGGTTTGATATATCTTTTTAAAAATTAAACTCACTATAGGTAGGTTTAATATATCTTTTTAAAAATTAAACTCACTATAGGTAGGTTTGATATATATTTTTTATTGCCCTAGTGTGTATGTCGATGAGACCTTGTTCATGTTTGAATTTGATAATATTTTGATGAACTGTTTTGAAGTTTTGCCTTGACTTATAAAATTTTTTTGAGAATTCATTATTAAGCCACTAAAGATTTCTGACAGCTTGTAGTGGGTGTATGTTATCTGCCTGGCACTCAAGAGAACTGCTGGTGATTTGAATTAAATTTTAACTTAACTATATGAAGAATATTTTGTTTGTTTTAGATACAACCAATCGGTCATTTAAAGCGCCATCAGATGATGATTTAATACCACCATTAGAATTATGTATAAGAACTAAGTAAGTCATTAAAGAAATTGTAAAGAGGTTTTCTTAATTTTGTATGTGTATTGGGGACACTGATAGCATCAATTTGTACCATTCTAAGTTTTAATCAGATGTCCTGCAATTCCACTAAAACTAAGTGTACATTAAATGTCTAATGCTTCTTAGAATAAACCTTATTACGTCACAAAATTACAGCATTAGAGAGAGCAGAAATTTGATTGGCTGGCAGTATCATCAAACTGACAAATGTTCAAGAAGGCCGTCTTGAGACCCTAACTGAAGTGACTAAATTAAAAATTAAAGTTACTTAAAAACGAACGAAAGTAACTAATTAGTATGTAAATGAAATTGAATTGTGTATTTTTCAGATGGCCAGATGCAGAAGTAGATTGGAATGGTTATGAACCTATATTATAGACTACCAGTGAAATATATATACAATAGCTAATATAGCATCTGTGATATTCTTCTCATTCCATTTTTAAGTGTATCAGGACACTGATAGCATCAATTTACACAATTCCAATTATCAGTCAGATAATTGTGGTTCTTGCAATTCCACTAAAACTAAGTGTTTGATGAAAATTGGAATATTGCAAATTGATGCTATCAGTGTCCATGATATACATAAAAGATTTAGAAAAACTCTTTACAATTCCTTTAAGATTCCAATAACCCATCAAATTTCATGAAATCCGCTTCTCAAGTGTAAAAAAGCTTTGTGATAAAAATATATTCCGTCCATGTATTTTGTTTCTACCTTGTATTTTAACTTGTATTATTTAATTAGTAGATTTAATTTCCAATAACTACGCATATATTCTGTCCATATCTTCTAACTTGTATACTGCTGAATTCGCCAGTCATGTTTGATTCATGTTCCAAAGTGTTTGATTGTAATTTAAGTTTTGACTTTAAAGGGATAAGTGTGCCACTTTTTTGACCAATCGTACCTTAATCTCAGAAACAGGCATTTTTAGCTAAACTTTTAGTAATAGGGTTCACAACTGACTGTTGAAATTTGAGCCAGTGTTCAGAATTATCACCATTTGAAAGTTAAAAAGAAAAGTCGTCTTTGCTTGAGAAGCTTCCATTTACACTTACTAAAAAAGATACAAAATTGTTATCTAATTTTAATTAGGTTGGAGTCAGAGGAGCCCATTCCATGTATTCAGTGACTGTTTTTATTTATTTCTGAATATTTTAAATGTAGAGTCAGTATTTATTAACAAATTTTAATCATTTTGAAATAAAAATTTATGAAGTAAGAATATGAGATTGTTTTTCCTCTTACACAATATTCCAGCAATTTAGTTTGATGTTTGGTTGCAAGATCTTAAAGGGAACTATCTGCAATCATATGATCATGCTGCTGGCACACAAAAGACAATACTAGAGTTTCGTCAAGACTGTCACCTAGCACAATCAAAAAAAAAAAAAGTCCAGTCGGTTGTTTTCAACTATGTCGATAATCACATATGGTTCATGCATTTGAAGGGAAAATGATCCTGATTGGATTATGTGGACGATAAAACAATTGGCGACAAATATCAAACTGGTTTTATATAATAAAGTTAATTAGAACTCAAACAAGAGTCAATATAAAAATTAAAATCACCTATTTTCAATAATGCATATTTCCGAAATTTTTAGGTAGGCAACTAAAATAAAGACATTGTTAGAAAGGTTATAACAATAACATCAATTGAATGTGAAAGGGCCCAAGTTCATATAATATAATTCTGTGAAGATTCGAAAAACATGCAAATTATTCATTTTCAGGGCCCTATAAATCAAAAGGTAATGTACCAAAGTCAAAAATCAAGAAATTCAAAAAGGGCTTCTGGAGGACCTAGGAATTTAAAATATTTTAAAACAAATTTAAGATCAGTGGGATTAAAATTATTGTCTGCATTAAACTTTTAATTTTTTTTTTGGAATCATAATTGATAATTTGGCCTCTAACCATTTACCAAGTTTCGTGAAAATTGAATGAAAACTAAAGACAAAAAAACAGTACAAAAAGTTTCATGGTGACAAAATTTTCCAATCAGAATTTTTTGAAACTGCAGTCTGCATGGAAGTTCTTTCAAGAATACACACAAAAATTTTGAGAACATCAAACAGAATATAAGCAGTTTATGGCAAATTTCTGAAATTATTTACAGTTGGAGTCTGATGTCTGGAATTCAAAGGTAATTCCGCTGTCTGGCAAAATGCTAAAAATGTTTTAACTATTACAGTTTTGGCTACGTACTCTGACAACAATCACCAAAAAAATAAAAAAATAATAAATTAAAGGAACAGATGCACCATATTGGGGGGTTGATTTCAGCCTTGAATATATGTTAATAGTCTTCAGAAGTGCTAGAAATGTGAAAAAATCCGATAATTCCTAAATGTATCTCAAACGAGGAATTCTACACACTATTTCTATATATCACAGAGTATCTTTAATTGACGAGTCATCATTTTATTCAAAAGCAGAAAATTCTAGACACACATGGATTTGAAGGCTCAAATTAAGAACGTGAGCTGTGAACACTATTAGACATTGGCAAAGCTAAAAAAATTGCTGTTTCTGAGTATTATTGGTTCAAAAAAATGGTGCATCTATCCCTTTAACAAAAACAATACATTATCATAATTCCTTCTTTTCTCTCTCTCCTAAAAGTTGTTTTTCTTTTAATTCCATTTCCTTCTTAGTAAATAATTCTATCATATACTGATCTGGTTTTAGATTCTTTTTCTCCAGTTTAGAATAAGCCTTATATAACTGGTCCAAGTTTTCTGCTCGGTTTAATTGCCGAGTAATGATATGAAGTTCAAATTCATCTTTTGTTTTCAAATGACAAGAATCGACTTGACATAAAGGTTTAACATTGGATAGGTTCAACTTTGGTAAAAATTCGACACCAGTTTTTTCTTCTAGTGTTTCTAAAGGCACAATAAAATCTGTTAATTTTTTATCAAACCCAATGGGTTTATTTGGAACAACAAAGGCTCCTAATGCTATTGGTTTACCATCTAATTCTGCCAAGACAACTTTATATAAGTGTGTTGGTACTGCTACTTGTCCCTTACCAATTACCTAAAATTAAAATCATTTTATCTAATGGGGAGATAACATGCAATATTATGTTATTGTGGTCTGATGGTATAATGGTTATGAATTTTTTTGCGGAAGGTACGTAATTTCCATTTAACTCTTTCTGGAATTGTAGGAACCACAGGCATCGGAGGAAGAATTGGTATGTTCCAAATAAAAGTCACAGGTGTCCCTGATACACATAAAAAGGCTAGAAAACCTTTTTACAATCCCTTTAACTATATATGACAGTCATGTTCTTGGTGAAAAGAAGTTGAACTTTTCATCAAACACTTAGTATTAGTGGAATTGCAGGAACCACAGATGTATGATGGAAGATTGGAATGGTGTATATTGATGCTATCAGCGTCCATGGTACACATACAAATTTAGAAAAACTTTTTACAATCCCTTTAATATGACTCTGGAAATCCTGAATAAAGTTAACAGTTCTAAATGAGAAAGAAATAACCTACTGGATATTTGACAATTGCTGGTCCATCCTCTTCTAAATCAGGTAAAAATACTGGTCCAGTAATTACACGGACATCAGTAAATTTCTTTGTTAAATTTCGACAATAGATTTCAAAGCGATTCCAAAAGCCACTGTTATTTTCAAAATTTTGAGGCACCACATTACTCAAGAAGAATGAAGCATTCATGGCTTCCTGAAAAACAAAAGAGTCTTGAACAATATGTTACAAGGATAACAATTAAGGATCCTTTCTAGCAGATGGTCCTTAGCAAAACCTCATGGCATTGATCTTTCCCGGATTATCCGTACCCATTTACAGCTGGGTCGGCTTTTAAACGCCATCAAGATCAGAACACTGAGCCCTTTTAATCAATTTACCTGATTAAATTTGTGGTTGCCAGCTGGTGACATGTGACCACGAGACCAACCACTTTTAAAATAGTCGTCATTTTCAGCATTAAATCTACCATTAACTGAAGGATCAGGTTTAAATTTTGAATGTTTTCTGTTGGCAGAGCCTGATAATAACAAGATAAAAAAAAGTAGGAATTGTAAGGGAATGTGATAACTTCATATAAACAGGAATTAAACAGCGAGGTAATAATTTCTCTGTCTACCCACTGGGAGCCGCAATGACTCAGTGAGTTAGACACTTGCTCACTAACCTGAAGGTCAATCCTGACATAGGTCAAGATAATACCTTCAGATTTTTCAACCTGGTGTCAGTGATGTAGGTAAGAGGGGCTGATATGGAAAAATCGTCTAGTTGTTCAGATGGGACAATAAATCGAGGCCCTGTTAAAAATCCCTTTACAGTTGGAAATCAAAGATTTCCTAGCAAAATTTACATCATTGGACACTGTATGGCATTGCCTGACTTCATTAGCCCAGAAGGTGCAGAAAAGTAGGACGTAAAAATCCATTCATTTCATTTCAGAAAAAGTCTAGAGGATGTATAAGCATACCTTTCACATTTTGGGCATTCAGGTGTTCAGCAACCCAAATAGGAATTTTCTTGGCTTGATCATAAGCTAGGACATGATTATCATAAATATAATACTCTTGACCTCTATCAGGAATACCATACTTTAAAATTCTACGTTGAGTTTCCAATTTATTGACATCCTCTGAAAATAAATTAGAATTCAGATTATCTCTCTCCAGCCCCGTCGTTAGGGTGGGGTCTGTGGGGGCTCAACCCCAGCAAGTGAGAAAAATGCCCCAGCAAAACCTTCTTTAGTTCAGCAAGGATTGATTCATTTACAGTGTCTTTGTACAAAATCAAGAAGATATATATTATCATATTAGTACAAAATCTGAGCCCCACCATCAAATCCAAAATCTTACACAAATTTACCCTCACATGAAAACTATGGCCATAAGGAAAAGTGCACCATGGCATTCTGCCAGAGCTGATGGCTTCTGTATGCATCAGGGTTAAGCCTATACTTGATGTCCGGTAGACGATTGACCCTTTGAGCTGCCCTGCTCGTCATGTCCGGCAAATAGAGCCAAATCAACACTTAAGGTCTACAAACATTATGACCGTTTGATTTCTGAAGCCAGCAGATAAAATTGAAGCAATACTTTGAAGAGGGTTCAGCTAACCTAACATCGGGTGATCTGCAGGTAATATCCTTGGCTTTAGTTCTTCATCAAGTCGTCTATTGTCTGAGCTTGGAGTTTTAAAGACTCTAGTGTTATACACGTAAACACATGCCATGGATGCAAATGTTCCACTGGCAAAACCTCGAATAAATGTAGTTGACATCTCTCGGTCAGTTGAAACTTTGAATTAAACTTACTCCAGGACACTTTTAAATGTGGTTTGAAATTGAAAGTACGATTCAACTTTCTTGAAAATTGTCTTTTGTTTTTTGTTCCAAAATTATAACCCAGAATCATTTCTGAGAAAAGTATCTGGAAAATCGAGAAGTAAATGGGAAGAGAACTCTTGATGCTTTCCTATCATCTTCACAAGCCATTTCAAATCTCATTTTTGAGGCGTTCAAGCATACATTTCATGTAAATTGTAGATGCCTACAAGGTCATAAAACATAATTATTTAGTCTTGAAATAAAGATGACAAAATTTGGAAGATTCTGAGTCGTCAGACAACACAAATAACGATGACATTTTAGGATCTCATATTTTATAATGTTTGTCGAAGATGATATCCTAAACGCAACTGCGCATGTCAGACAGCGCTAAAGGTCACGTGGTATTCCTTCTCGGAGCAGTCGCCATCATGCAGGCTGTGAAACAAGCGTGTGTCGGCTTTGCCAAAGCTACAAAATGTGCATTTTCTACACCAACAGCCACCCAAACGGCTGCAAGAACCATCCCTGCATACTTCAGCTCACGTATGTATTGAAATCAATGTGTTCAACCACCCTTTTATTCCTAAAATCGCCAAGGACAAAGAGTTCAATGTTGCCGGCTTCAACACGAACTGACCTTGCTTGCACTTCAAAACGGATGAACTGTCTCTGTTCAAATTGGCATCAAAGTAAAGCATGATCATGCCCTTTTTCTTATATATTGACAATTTTATTGTGAATGAGCTGTACTGTTTGACTTAACTTGTCTTACATGTGGTAATGTCTTCTTGCTCAAAATGTCATACAACTCATACACACACTTACAGAAAGAATGGAATGAGATTATGTCATTGATGATATCTCCAGGCTTTAATTTACACTGCCCATGAATTTGATGTTACAGTAGCCTCACCATCAGTAATCAAAATAAGATCAGACCCATTCCAAGAGATTTTGAAAAATAACCTCTTGCCAAGGGCACAGATGTTTCTGACTGTCGATGCTTATACTGTGGTAACTAGGCCATAGTAGGGGTCACATTTAATTTTAGATTGACATTTTAGGCACGAAAAAGAAAAAGGCAAATGTCCAAATCATGGAATGAGTCTACTGAATAACCTTAGTGATAGGCCTGATTCAATTTTCTTTTTTTTTCTGCAGGAAACTATGCAGCACAAACTAAAGCTGAAGCTGGCAACCCTAAAGGCAGAATTGTTGCTGTTATTGGTGCTGTTGTTGATGTCCAATTCGATGATGCACTACCTCCAATCTTAAATGCCTTAGAAGTGAAAGATAGAAGCCCAAGACTTGTTCTGGAGGTTGCCCAACATTTAGGTAAAATTTAGTTTTGTGATGAAGAGAAGTTAGTTTTATAAATAGGATTGTAAAGAGTTTTCTTAAAAAGAAAATTGTATTGCGGACACTGATGGCATCAATTTCCACCATTCCATTTTCAGTCCGACATCTATGGGTTCCTGCAATTCCACTTAACCTAAGTGTTTGATGTCAATAATTGCAAAGGGCTTTGTGATAAAGCATATTTTATAAGTGACATCATCACTTGAGTTTAGTGTAATTGCAGGAATCACAGACATCTGATTGATAATTGTAATGGAACGAATTGATACTATCAGTGTCCCTAATAAACATACAAAATTTACAAAAATAATTTATTATCTCTTTAATTTGAACTTAGAATATGAAAAGAAAACCCATCTATTGATAAACACTAAAAAATACAACAAAATCTAAATGTTTTGCCTTGTAGGAGAGAATACTGTACGTACTATTGCTATGGATGGTACCGAAGGTTTGATTAGAGGACAACAATGTATTGACAGTGGTACACCAATTAGAATTCCTGTAGGACCTAAAACATTAGGCAGAATTATTAATGTTATTGGTGAACCAATTGATGAGAGAGGTCCAGTACCAACCGACAAGTATGTACTATTTCTTAAAGAGATCGTAAAGGGTTTCTAATTTTTTTTATGTGTATCAGGAACACTGATAGCATCAATTTACACCAATCCAATTTTCAGATGTCGGTGGTTCCTGTTATTCCACTAAAACTAAGTGTTTGACATCAATAATCTCCAAGGGTCTTATGTGATAAAGCATATTTTGTGATTAGTGACATCTCGTGACACCACTTAGTTTTAGTTGAATTGCGAAAAAATCAAAGCTACGTCTGATTGAAAATAGGTAAAAGATTTTCTCAATTTTTTATGTGTATCGGTTTACACGAATGGCATTATTTTGCGCCATTCCTATTTTCAGTGTCCCTGATATACATAAAAAATTGAGAAAATCTCTTTACAATTCCAAGGCTTAAGAGAATTTTAAGCAGATCTGCAAGCTGTTTAGATCTTCACGTATATCCTGGAGAATTCTACAACCAGCTGTAAAAAGGGAAAGTTGTAATTGAATTAAATTCTCCTTCATCAGAGTTGATAATTTTTACATATTGCAAATGCTCCTTTTAGATTTTCTGCCATTCATCAAGAGGCTCCAGAGTTCATAGAAATGAATGTACAACAAGAAATTTTAGAAACTGGTATTAAAGTTGTAGATCTTTTGGCTCCCTATGCCAAGGGTGGTAAAATTGGTAAGTTTCTTTGCTTGACTTTGCTGTAAAAATATACTTGATTCGCAGATCTGATAGAATTATTGACAGCTGAATATTGACCAATCCGCTTAAAATAAGCCGTCATATTTTACCCACAAACACAACTGTGTCCAAGGAAAATTTATTTTTTAATGACTCGTGTGTATCTGACATATCTGTATTGAAGTGTGTATGGGATACTTGCAATGCAGATGAAAGATATCTAGAAAGATTGAGGAGGGGGGGATGTCATTTTGTGTGGTTGTTTGAGGTGATTGACAACTGTATCTAAATGGGCGGAGCCTAAACTGTTCTCACCTATTTGTTAGTTGTTATTGCTGAAACCAATAGTATCAAAGATCACAAAGTTCACTACATTATTACAGTGACCCTAACTGTACGTTGGTAGTGTAAGGAAGTGTCAAGAGATTTCTAAAAAAAAATTATGTTCATCGGAACACTGACAGCATTATTTACACCATTCTGTAGTTCTGCAATTACAGTATAACTTTCTGTTTGATCTCGCTAATTGCAATATATGCCTTGTCATAAGGCCCTTTTTCGATTAATGACATCATCAGACACTTAGTTTTTGTGGAATTGCAGGAGTCTCAGACTTCTGATTGAAAATGGATTCTAATAAGAATATAAAAAACCTCTTTACAATCCTTTTAACCTCTGAAAGATCATTACTAATAGGTTTAGCATATAAGCAGCTGGTAGCTTAAATTCTTTATAATCTTGGTTGTTCATAAATAAAAACGGTTCTTTAAGTTTCTCATAACTTATTTTTTTTAGGTCTTTTTGGAGGAGCTGGTGTAGGTAAAACTGTATTGATTATGGAACTGATTAACAATGTAGCTAAAGCTCATGGTGGTTATTCTGTATTTGCTGGTGTTGGAGAAAGAACTCGTGAAGGCAATGATTTATATCATGAGATGATAACCTCTAAAGTCATTAGTTTAACAGACGACACATCAAAGGTGAGAACACAACTTTAACCATTTCTTACCCCGCGGCTACAAACCTTTTTCATACTTAGCTGAGATTTTATTCAAATTTGAAACCGCAACTGATTGTATCAAAGACATGGATATCAATCTATTTGTTAGAGCTGCAATACTACCTCTTAGAATGGACATCAATTTTATTAGACTTACCTGGTACCATTACTAAAGAATAGAATCTCTATATAAGATAATATATCCATTAAACTAAATAATTATTGAAACACTCTTCTAAGCATATTTTGAAATTACTTAATTATATGAATTATTTAGTTTTATAGATTTATTAGATTATAGAGAGATTCTGTTGTATAGTTATGACATCATTTTGTACCAAGTATTGTGCTAGCTATTGTTATATGTCTTATGTGTTTGCTTTCAGGTCGCGCTGGTATACGGCCAGATGAATGAACCTCCAGGAGCCAGAGCTCGAGTTGCTTTGACCGGTTTGACTGTTGCTGAATATTTCCGAGACATGGAAGGACAGGATGTACTATTATTTATTGACAACATTTTCAGATTCACACAGGCTGGTTCCGAGGTAAGGGCTGGTAGATAATCATATATAACTCATTCAAATTTCTGAATCTATTTAACAAATCATTTAAGTCTCGGAAACAGGAGTTAAAGCTTAGCAGTAATAGTGTTCACAGCTCATCGTCAAATCCATGTGTATCTAGAATTAACCACATTTAAAAGTTAAATGAAGACTAGTCTTTTCTTGGTTCTACCATATAGGAAAGACATCTATGGAAATAGACAGTGAAATTCCTAGTAAGAGGTATTTTTGAATTGTGGATTTATTGTACACTTCTGATGACTATTTACATATTTTTAAGACTCAAATGAACCCCCCCCCCCCTCCCCTCCACCCAAATGACAAACCAATACCTTATTTGGACATCTTTTCAGGTATCTGCCTTATTGGGTCGTATTCCATCAGCTGTAGGTTACCAACCAACTTTAGCTACTGACATGGGTACTATGCAGGAGAGAATTACAACAACAAAGAAGGGATCTATTACATCAGTACAGGTATGTTTGAAAAAGCAAAAATAAGTTTGCCACCCTCCCCCCCCACCCCCCCCTCTTCTAATTGATAATTAGAATGGTGCAAAATGATGCTATCAATGTCCCTCTTTACAATCCCATTCAACATATGCTATTCTATAATGTGTTTTAATCTATTTTAAGGCTATCTATGTACCTGCTGATGATTTGACTGATCCTGCTCCAGCTACCACTTTCGCTCATTTAGATGCTACGACTGTCTTGTCTCGAGGTATTGCTGAATTGGGTATTTACCCAGCTGTAGATCCTCTTGATTCAACCTCTCGTATCTTAGATCCCAATGTTGTTGGAGCTGAACATTATGCTATTGCCCGTAGTGTACAGAAAATTTTACAAGTAAGTATTCAAATTATACTACCTCTTAGGATGACCAAAAAATTTTGATTTTTATACGCCGTCGTCACCCATGTCCGTCCTTGTCACCCATGTCCATCGGTCTGTCTGTCCACAATTGGCTTGTAAACGCGATAGAGACTACAGTTTTCATCTGATTCGAATGAAATTTGGTTGGATCATTTATATTGATGAGATCTTGGACAAGTTCAATATTCATGATTTTTCGATGAACGGATTTTGAGTTATTGCCCTTGACTTAGCCAAAAAGCGTCGAAATTGGCTTGTGAACGCGATAGACTACAGTTTTCATCTGATTTGAAAGAAATTTGGTGTGATCATTTATATTGATGAGATCTTGGACAAGTTCGATATTCACAATTTTGTGATGAACGGTTTTTGAGTTATTGCCCTTGAATTGAAGAGTGAGGATATCTGAAAACTAAACTAGAGGTATGCGAAATGAATTCCTCACTGCCTGAATGAAAGTGAAAATAGGGATCTTGTAGATTAAAGATAAGTTTAATGGTTGAAATATTGATAATGAGGTAAGTGTACTTTTATATTGACAAGATGACAAAGTTACGCAGAGTTACAACCTCTGATATATGGAAAATATATTTGCTAAGTGGGCGTATCTTGCTAGGCAACCACTTGCTTAACTTGGTTAAAATGAGTCTTATTGATCATGCTTAGAAGTGTTTTTCAATAATTGTTTAGTTTAATGGGTATTTTGTCTTATATAGAGATTCTATTCAGAACTTGGGAGCCACGGTGGCTCAGTGAGTTAGACGCTTGCTCGCTAACCTGAAGGTCCAGGGTTCAGTCCCGGCATAGGTCAAGATAATACCTTCGGATTTTTCAACCCGGTTTCCCCCTGTCAGTGATGCAGGTACGAGGGGCTGACATGGGAAAAGCATCTAGTCGTTATGGGACAATAAACCGAGGCCTCGTGTGCTACAGGCTGTTTAAGATCCCTCGACAGTTGGAAATCGAAAAAGAGCAGGCTAATGCTGTTGTCCTGGCAAAATTTCCTTCATTGCACCCTGCATGGCGTTGCCCGTCTTCATTAGCCCATATGGTGCAGAAAAGTAGGACGTAAAGCTCCATTCATATCATTTCTATTCAGAACTTACCATCGAATGCCACCTATGACTATATATGTTAAATTTTGTGTTTTTTTTAGGATTATAAATCACTACAAGATATTATTGCTATCTTGGGTATGGATGAATTGTCAGAAGAAGATAAATTAACTGTATCTCGAGCCAGAAAGATTCAACGTTTCCTCTCACAACCTTTCCAAGTAGCTGAAGTTTTCACTGGCTCCCCTGGAAAATACGTACCTTTAGTTGAATGTATCAAAGGTTTCCAGAGAATTTTAAAGGGTAAGTCTACAAATCAAAGAAAACTATGCAAGGATGCCCGCTTTTACGTGGCCTTGGTATGATGTAGGCACACGACAGTTGGAAATCGAAAAAAGAGCAAGCTAATGCTGCTGTCCTGGAAAAATTACCCTCCTTGCACCATTAGCCCACATGGTGCAGAAAAGTAAAACTCCATTCATTTCATTTCTATGCCTGCATTGAACCCTGGACCTTCAGGTTAGCAAAAAACGCCTTAAAGGGATTTTAAAGAGGTTTTCTAAATTTTTTATGTGTATCTGGGACATTGATAGCATCAATTCACACCATTCCGATTTTCATTCTGATGTCTTGTGGTTCCTGCAATTCCACTAAAACTAACATGTTTTATGACGGCACAACAGGAGAGCTACTATTGATATCTATGCAGTTCCTCTCTAATGATGTCATAAAATGCGTTAAATTTAGTGGGATTACAAGAACCACATACATCGGAATGAAAATTATAATGGTACAAATTGATTCTATTAGTGTTCCCAATACACATAAGATATTTAGAAAGCCTCTTTACAATCCCTTGCTGAGCCACTCTGTGTCTCTATGATTTTCTTTAGAGATGAATAATATTGCAGTAAAATCATTTTCTTTGTTTTTTTTTTCCAGGAGAATTAGATCATTTACCAGAAATCGCTTTCTATATGGTCGGACCAATCGAAGAGGTTATTTCTAAGGCTGAGAAATTGGCAGAAGATCAATAAAAACTAGAGTGCTAGATAAACCAGTGTGATAGTGGCCATATAAATTATTAACATCATCATTGTGGACATAACTTGAAGAAATATTTTATTGTAGATAAAACAGACAAAAAGTGGAAACGTTTCAAAAATACAGGAAGTTGTTTGTTAAATTACGCTTGACTGTATTTATTGAAAACAAAGAATAAATTGTTAAAAATCCCTGTCTTTCTTTGTCTGAAAGTGACCCTAATAACAATTTGAGGAGCCGAAGGCCTCGTCCAGCGTTTAATCCTGGCATGGGTTCGAGAGAATACCATTGGATTTTCTCAACCCGCTTTCCACCTGTCAGTCTCGTGATACAATTTAAAAGGGGCTAATGTGGAAAAAGCCTCTAGTTGTTAGGATGTGACATTAAACAGAGGTCTCGTGTGCTGAATAACCAGACGTAATAGATTTTCAGCATATTTATATCCTGATAATCAAGTCAAAGTTGCAACAAGGGTTATGTCCCCTGCTAATTTGCCAAGATCGGATAACAAAAGATCCCTTTTGATTGGAAGCATTAGAATTCTCTAAATTTGTGTCTGGTTATTCACATGTTGACATCTTTTGTCATGTGAAATAGCATCGTGTCCAAACCACACCTCATTCGTCATACTTCCTCGGGCTTAATAAGACCCGTATTCGTGATACGATGGTGTAATAGTTAATAGAGTTTTTCTCTTCTTCAAATGGTACAAGATTGCGAATGGGATAAATTGAATGATGACGTATGGTCTGCAAAGGGAGTATAAGTCTCTTATAACAGAATGTGTTGTGAAAGCAACGGTTAGATGTGATAAACGTCAAACACCGTTGCTTAAAGGACACAAGCTGTACGAAAATCGAATATCTCCAATACACCCAGACTGACTATTTCCCTTTCAATTATTCACATCTCCCTAGTCTGAATAATGTACGTCTTGCGAAAATTTCCTCAAAACCGAATATGCCAAAATACAGCTAAAGTTATTTTAAGAATCCATTTATGAAAGTAACGTAACTTGTAAATGGTGACGCCTTTAAAAAAAGGACGAGTCGCCAATTTAACTTTAAAATTATAATAATTATCATGAAAGCTCACATTTCTGGTGGTTAGCTGTGAACACTTACTGAATAAATCCCCCCCCCCCCCTTAAAAAACCCCCAAATTCCGGTTCTGAGACTAGGGTACTGTTGAATTGATGGCGCAAACGTTGAAATTGCCCTTTTTAGGAGCATGTTCTGGGAAGAAAAATAACAACAAAATGAAATTTTATAATATTAATACATATAATATAAACTTTCAGTGTTATATTTACAATAATATTCACTGTGATATTTGAAATGACAATTATATATATGATGAGATACTTACATATGAAGGTGAGGTAGAATTTAACGATTTTAAAAAGCTTTGCAAAAAACATTTTGTATGTGTATCAGGGACACTGATAGCACCAATTTGTACCATTCCAATTTTTAATCGGACCTCTGTGGTTCCTGCAATTCCAATAAAACTACGTGTTTGGAGACGCCACGTCGCGAAAGGCCTTATGTGATAAAGCATATTTTACTTTTAGTGACATCATTTGCAGGAAACAAGGACGTCTGATTGAAAATTGGAATGGTGGAAATTAATGCTATCAGTGTCTCCGATACACATACAAAATCGAATTACATCTTTACAATCCCTTTAAAATGGAAATGAAATCAATGGAGTTTTACGTCCTACTTTTCTGCACTTTAAAATGGGGAGAAGTTATACCTAAAATAGCTTTCGTTGTATGTAGCTTACAATGATTTTAAGGGTGATTTTGACAAGTCAAAATCATTGTTGTATCAAGACGATCAAGATGGTGTGCTGATGACCTCTAAATAGCATACGAAACTACGTATGGTTCCTACATGGAAATAACACACACGAACGTAGTTGACAGCCATTTTGAATCACTACTTCGACATAATAAGTCGAATTTTAAAAAGCCTATAATATTTCATCAAAGCCTTCAAATCACATTTAAAGGTTTATAAATGGCTTTAAATACGATTTGAAGGCTTTGTTGAAATATTATACCTTATCTCAAAATTCGAAGAAGAGATTCAAAATGGCTGCCAACTACGTTCGTGTGTGTTAACTGTTATTTCCATGCAAGAACCATACGTAGTTTCGTATGTTCTAAATATCAATAAATAAGAAACGAGTTGCCATGGCGACAAAATGAACGAGATGATGCAGACGTTTAAAATAAATCGAACATCATCATATAGAACATATTGAATAAGTTATTTGATTGTTGGTAAGATGGTTGACGGTAATAAGATCTTTGTTGATAGAAAGATGTCGGCTGGTAATATTGGACTGGTTTAGGAGCTGGTTGGTAGTAGTAGGGTATGTTATTGTAACCTTGTTGTGGCTGGTACACCTGTTGATACTGCTGGGTGTACGGGTAAGTGTAATAGACTGGAGCTGGTTGCTGAGCTCGTGGTGGAGCTGCTGTGGGAACTGTGTAGACTGGCTGGTTGAAGAAAGGTCCTCTGGTTGAAGCTTCATTCTGTATCCCCTGTGCCTCGGTCGATACTACCAAGTTTCTGGAGGCTGTTGTACTCTCTGAAGAAGCTGTTGTTGAACCTGTGACCGATGCAGGGGCTTGTGTTGTTATGTCAGATGAGGCCGTTGTAGCTGTTGAATCTGCTGAAAGCGTTGTTTCATCTGTTATCGATGGGGATTGTGTTGTGATGTCAGATGAAGCTGTTGTAGCTGTTAAATCTGCTGTTGTTATGATTGACTCGGCTGAAATAATTCACAAACATTATGTGTTTAGTAGAATATGTTTTAGACAATTTATTGCAGTCGACTACCTAAACCCGGTCAATTTATCGTAGGGCTCAAATTTCGACGATGAGCTGTGAATAATATTACTGATTATTTTTGATTTTTGATGAATCGATTTAACCGGATTTAAAATCTTAAGGGATTGTAATGAGGTTTTCTATATTTTTCATGTGTATCACGGAACACTGATAGCATCAATTTGTACCATTCCAATTTTCAATCCGACGTCTGTGGTTCTTGCAATTCCACGATGATGTTATTAATCGCCAAGGGTGATTTAATTGATAAAGAATATTTTGCGATTAATGACGTCCAAAAACACTTAATTTTAGTGGAATTGCAGGAACCACAAAGAGTCTGATTGAATACACATACATTTTTTAGAAAACCTCTTTACATTCCCTTTAAAAAATGTTTTTTCCTAAATACTGTTATAGTATGAGAGAATGTAACTAATTCAGAATGAATGATATATCTTTACGGCGGAACCAAAGGTTATTACTAATCTCCTAATAATTAATGCTCACTTCATTTAACCACTTCTCAGTTTTCTCTTACTCTTATTTCTTCCAGAGTTTATTTCTTACCTTTAATTAGTGATCTTTTCTCAGTTGGGTTATCTGGATACATAGTTACCTAGCGAGTCATTAGATACTCAGATTTTTTTCAAGTTGTATTTTTTGGAGTTGTATGATAGTGTTCTGGATTTTCTTTTATATAGTTTAAGGTATGTAAAGTGTTTTTGGCAATTATTTCTATGAGCAGTATGAATTTGTAGTAGAACCCTGTCTAGTTATTCAAACTACCCCAGATTCCTTATAACAATAAGAATCAATAGAGAAATAGCGTGACACTTCTAAATGCTTTGTATAAGTAATTGATTACGAGAAAGATAATTGTTCTCTCTCTAAATATTTAAGAGAATAAATGAATGAATATTATTTAAAGGGACAAATTCGCCATTTTTTTACCATTCGCACCTTAGTCTCGGAAACGGTTTTTTTTTTGCTATGCTAATCAGTAATAGTGTTCACAGCTTACTGTCGAAATTTCAGCCTTGAAATCCACGTGTGTCCAGAATTATCCGCATTTGAAAGTTGAAATAACGACTCGTCTTTTCTAGAAACATATGCCATATATAGAAAAGACATATATATAGAACTAGAAAGTGAAATTCCTAGTTTGAGATATTTTTAAAGGAGTTATGCGATATTTGTGCATTTCTAGTATTTCTGAAGATAATTTACATATTCAAGACCAAAATCAACCCCCGAAAATGGCGGATCTATCCCTAAACTGATTTAAAGATAGTGTTTAAAAACTCAAAATAATTCTTGTACTCACTTGTGGTCTGAGAAAGGACACCATTTCCAGTTAAAATTAAAACCAGCGTATAGCATATTAAATCCATCTTAATATATTACTTGTGGCACGCTTAATTCGACAAATGATGGCGTATATGAAATGAAATGGTATTTAAAGCCCGGCGTGACCTGCTGCCCTCTGGTCAAGACCATCAGAATCTGATTTACAATAGACCGTTTCTATGTACAAAACAAGCACATTAAACTGTATGTCACCCCTTATAAGACTTATATAAGCATTATGTTCGTCTCCGAGCGTGAAATTTTATGTGACGTTTGGCCTTCGGCTTTTAGCAATTTTCATCTGAAGAATGGTTTATGAGTCTGTAAGCAAATATGCTACAAATTCAAAGCTTTTCATGATTTTTGAAACGTTAGGTGTTTTGAGTAATGACTCAGTGGCTCAACTACTATAGACACTGGATGAACAAAGTCTACAGCCCCCAACTTCCAGAAAAAAATATTGAATTAAAAATAAAGTACCAAAGTAAGTATCTAAAAGCTTAAAGGGAATGTAAAGAGGTTTTCTAAATTTTGTATCGTAATTGAATTTCATCGATTATGTTTTGTGTTGAAAACCCCGAGGGTATCTGAAAATTCCAGAGGCCTGTGTCTCTAATCTTTTCGTACAAGTAATTAATAATGTTGATACTCATCATTTCAATTTATTTTAACACGAACATCTGTTTTTAAATAGTACACGTATTCTCTATTAAGGTTAGACTTAATCGTAAATTTCGGTCCAAGCGAGGGCGTTAGCCAAAGGTCATATAATCTGTAAAGGGGGGGGGGGGGATTGAAATGGTGGGGGAAGATACGATCAATAAAGGATCATGAAAAGGAGTATTCGTTCGTTATCCGAACTGTTTTGTTATCTTACAAAAATTCAGTCATTTTGATTACAATGTAAATGTCATCCATGATCATACGATATTTTTCTGTAAATTGTGTTCTCTGTTGAATTTTGACCCAGTAGTATCGACAGTTGGTAAAAAATTGGTGCTTACTGAGTGAACACTATTAAAAGTGGCAAGATGATAAAAACTTTGATAGATATAGTCCTAAAGCCCCAGTTCTATAACATGCCAGGGCTGACACTTCACGGGGTATTTTGTTTTCCGAACAAAAGCAATTAATTGTTTGCAATTTCAAGTGAATGAACATATTAACATTTAAGTTCTCGAAATGGCCAATATGAGTATATATTCATCTGTGAACTTACCTGGTGTCATAAAGTTACAACAGAATCCCTGTAAAATCTGGAAATTTCATAAAAATAAGTAATTATTGAAAAATAGTTAATCTTGATATCAAGCGTTTTTCAATAGTTTATTGAATATTTATGGATAATTACCATGTTTTTTGGATTTATCGTATCATATAAGGATCCTGTTATGTTATTTATGACACCCGGCATATCTACTGAATATATGCTCTTATTCGCCAAGTTTAAAATTCTTAAATTTTATGTTAATTCTAAGACGTAGTATCACTTTAAATAACCCAGAACAGAAGGTGCATAACAATTTCGCCAGATCACAGATGGCAAGTGGAGTCCCCCGGAAAATAAAACGAAACTAACCCCCCAAAAAATGATTTCAAAATTACTTCCCAGTTGAAAGACCCTACTTCTCAAAGACTCGTGAACAGAGAAGAGCAGAAATTTAGCTTCTCTTTTGACCACAACAAAACCTAAGATCTAGACATGATAAAAGCTATATTTCATTCTACTGACTACCACCTTGTGTTACAATAAATGATGTTTGTGTTAAGGTGAACGTTAACATATTTCAATTATTGTTTAATGTTTCTATTCATTAGTTTACTGTCACTATTAATACATAATATAAATAGCTCAAATTTACACCATTTTGAATTACCAAGCGTTTATGATGACAGTGGCTTAACTAGTGGACTTAAAGGGATTGTATACAGGTTTTTCTAAATTTTATGTGTGTATAACACTGATAGTATCAATTTCAATCAGACGTATATGGTTCCGACAATTCCAATAAAACTAAGTGTATGATGACTCACTCAGAGCGAAGGGTCTTACTTGATAAAGATTATATTTTGCGATTAGTGACAACATCAAACACTTAGTTTTTGTGGAATTAAAGGAACCATAGACGTCTGAACATTGGAATGGTGTAAATTGATGCTATCAATGTCCCATATACACATAAAATTTTAAGATAAACCTCTATACAATCCCTTTAAATCATCCAGCGTTCATGATGAATTTGATAGGACATGGAGTTGTACATTTTACACTAGTACGAGTTATTTATTAATTTAGATGACAAACTGCAGTGGTAATCTATGTACATAATAGTTATATAACTTGATCTCTTGTTGACAAACAATGAGGCCTTTATAATATCTAATAGATCAGAATCGTCCGAGGGTCGAGAGAGATTAACTCAGTGAATCTTTACAGCCCTGGTTCTTGGGGTGTGGGACAAGGGTGTCAGGGGTGTGACCACCTGGTGTAAGAGAAGAATTTATTTTAAATTGGGAGAGCATCTCACATCAACACATGCAGAATATGTGGATAAAACAAATTTTTGTTTCTCTCTCTCTCTCTCTTGATATTTTTTGATTTAGGATTTGAATTCTATTAAAGGGACTTTTCACATTTTTAATTAACCATTTCAAAACAAATTCTATTTGATCAAGAAGATACATAGATATAAATCACATATTTTAGCAATATTTTCAGGTATAATTTACAAAGTTGTTGATTATGACAATATTTTTCAAAAAAGCAGAATGTCCCTTTAAGGGAAATTTCTTTTCAAAAAGTCTAGTATAGAAGCAATCACAACACACCCTGAACCCCCCACCCCCTCGGCCGCCGCTCCCCTCGAGTTTTATTTGTACCATGTAAATCTGTACAGCAAAGGATTTTGTGCTTTGTTGATTACCAATTTGTCTAGTGGGTAACCGGCCTTTGTCAGCATTTCTTTGATTCCTTTCATGCCAGACGTGCAACCCATTCCCGGCGTTCCGGATTGGTTGTGACTTTCTGGTATACACACCGTAGAACTCAAACCGTACATCTGAGGTGCCATTGGATCTTCGATATTTTCCTTGTGGTTATTTCCCTTGAGTACGATCTCTATTATATTGACTATACCGCCAGGCTTGACCACTTTCTTGATATTTTCGGCGCCTTTGACAGAATCGCCCATATCATGTAAAACGTCATGGATATGTACCATGTCGAACTTTTCAATCAGCTTTTCGTCCAGTTTTAGTATATCACCTTGTTCCACTCGCAAATTGGCTAGCTTTCTTTTTTGAATCTCTTTCTCCAGGACAGCCACAGCATCTTTTGAGATGTCCACTCCAAGGAATCTCGTGTTAGGAAATTTTTCCGCCATTGCTAGAATCAAGGCTCCCTGACCGCAACCAAACTCTAGAAAATCTATACCAGTTTCTGAAAAATTTGGCAAAATTGTGAATATATACAGGGATTTTCAAAAAGTATAGACGTCTATATTTTTCCTCGCTGGTCGAGCCCAATCGATGGCGTTTCTAGGAAATTTAGGCGAGGGGACCAAGCAGGGGCCACAAACCTTTTCTGTGTGGCCATAGGCCCAATAACTCATTGCACAGGCCATTCTTTCACTATGTAAAATGATAAAACAATGAAAGTGTGGGGCCAATCCGGGCTGAGTTTATTCTTGGCCACGAACCTGGTCAAAATATCGATAGAGCACAATTTTAAAACAGATTTACTCAGATCATGGGTGGCTAGTGTAGTAGCCTAACCCACAGGAACAAAACACGAAACGAAATATCCAGATCTGCCCAAAGTAAACATGTTGATCAACGTTGATGTGTAAAATAGTCTTTGAACATGTAATCGAATTAGTATTCGAGCGCAACCACTCAAGGTTGTTTCAGTACAGGTATCGAGCAAACTTTACATCCCATCGTACATCCAAGTGTGAAGAGCATTCGAAAGAGAAGTGTATGCTGCACGCTTGTAGTTTTGTAGGATTGTTCGTCATCGAATCGTTTTAAGAATGGACCTTCGTTCATTCGACATCCCGCAACGGTAAATATTACCTAATTTTTGTTGAATATCAGGCGTGGATCTTAAAAACATTCCATCTATCGTGCCATTGATATCGGTATTAACAAGCTCGTCCATTTTATCACCAATGTTTCCTCTGGAATGGGTCGGATAGCCTTAAAATGTAAAACATAAATAATGAATTAAAGGCGTAAATATTTGCTCCATGTATCACTGTTAAGGATGAAAATCCGACGCCCTGTTCCTCATCAATCAAGCCAAACAAACATTATATCGCAGGTTCCTAATCATTACAAATGTTCTCTTTCAAAGGTTTATACTTCGCTGAGCTAATCAATAATAGTGTTTACAGCTCACCGTCGAATTTTGACTCGTATTTTTTTTAGCCTTATACAGAAAAAACATAGACAGAAATAGGTGAAATTTGTAGTTTGAGGTATTTTTGAAGGAATGTTTGTACATTTTACTACTTCTGAAGGCTATGTATATGTTAAAGACTCTTTTAAACCCCCCAAAATGGCGAATCTGTCCCTTTAAACAATACCTTTAATTCCATTAGGATCTAGCAAGCTCTTTAGATCTTCTGTTCTCTTGTTTAAATGATCTGCCAGATCGAACGATATCAGCATTCCTTTTAAACAGGTGCGCAGTTCAGGTGGTAAGGAATATTTTTCCGAATTATCATCCACTTGTATGATTCTAGATGTCACCAGACATCCCAAAACTTCTTGTACATATCTGTCAATAAGTAACAAATTGAAACATCAAGAAAGCGAAGCAGACAATGGTGGCCCCAATGGGCGTACGCAGAGAAGCGAGAGAGGGAGGGGGGGGGGGGGTGACATTTGGTTGACAACCTAAATTGTTATACCCCCAACGGCGGCGAAGCAGAAATTTTTGACACATTTTTGAGTTTTATCACCTGATTTTTTTTTATCTAAGCCGGCAAGAAGCCAAGAAAATGCGAAGGTTTGAAAGGGTATCTTGGAGATACGTGGCAAGAGCTGGCGAAGGTGACGGGATTTTATACTAGTAATCCAGAGATACGTAGCAAGGGCTGATGAAAGTGCCGAAGTTTTGGAAGGGTATCTTGAAAACATGAGACACGTTCCAAGAGCTGGTGAAAGTGACGGGTATTATACTAGGAAAACTGTAGACATGGCAACAGCTGGTGATAAGTAACTGAGGTATTATAGGGTATTATTAGGACATGGGATTGAGTATAATGTAACGTCGGGCTTGTAGCTGTTGGAATCTGTGGATAAGCTTCTACATAGGCGTAGTAGCCTGCTACCCCTGTGCCTCCATGAGCCTCTACGAGCTGTAATATTACAAAATCCTAGGTCGACATGACACTTTTAACAGACGTTTAAGGCCGCTGACATATCTATTACATGTATAAACTTATATACTAGTCATATCATTATGTATATTCTATTGTGATGATATCTTTATAGGTTATATTGATATATATTCTCACTCGTGTTATAATTTCTATACTACCTTTTAGAGTGGATATAAAATTTAAACTATTTGATTAACTGGTGTTTCTAATGAATTTTCATGTATTCTTAATCTTATTGTGTTCTTATTGCATATCATATAGAGTTTTAACCAATCATAAATTTACATGTATGTAAATACCAGATGTCATGACTAAAGAGTAGAATCTCTATATAAGACGATATATATATTAAACTAAATCATTATTGAAACCCGCTTAGCTTTATGGAATTTTTGGATTATAGAGAGATTCTGTTGTATAGTTATGGCACCAGTAAGTCCACTGGTGAACAAAGACAAAGATTAAAAATTCCATTTTTTTGGTCGTCCTAACAACGTGCACGCATAATGAAGCTAGTGTGATAGCATCAAATTTTACACTATTTGCCTCACCTTTGTCTTAAATTAGATTTTGCCGCTATCTCAGCAACTGTCATAGGTTCGTGTGGCTCGAGAAAGACATTTAACAGTCCGCTTTCTTTCGAAACGGTTACAGCAAAACAAGCCGCAGCACCAGTTATATGTTCCAGTAATCGAGCGTTGTAGCTGTCCTTATCCATAGCTCATAATCTACCAAGTCACTCCGAACAAACAGTGTGTTAGAAGCCTGTACTTATATTTGCTATCTATTGATATTTGGTATGTATAGGAGTTATGTTGAATGAGATCAGCAACTGGGTCGTCGTGTGAAATTCAAGCAAGTTGATTGGATAATATTAATAGATATCCCATCCAATCGCTAGAATTGGATATTACCACGTTTCATTTAAATTTGATATATAAAATTCAATTTCTATTAGCCAAATTTTAAGATACAAAATTACCATTTATTAAGAAAAGAAAAGAAGAGTCGTCATTTTAACATTTAAACACGTATATTTCTGGATCCACATGAATTTGACGGCTTGAATATCGACGGTAAGCTGTGAACACTATTACTGATTGGCTTTAGCTAAAATATTCTCGTTTCTGGAAGGTACGATTGGTCAAACGAATTGCGAATCAGTCCCTTTAACAATGTAATTTCAGCTTGCCACGTTTCCCTTCTCTTCTATATAAACCTATACAAATTACCTGCGCCAACTACCAACTACTACGACTACCAACAACTACCTAGTTTGAGATATCAGCATCCGCTGGAAGCGAACGTTAACTTGTCATCTACCTACCCACCTACCTGCGCTACGCACAACTCTATTAAGAAGAGAAAATGACTGGAATTTCTAATTTGATGTTGGTAATTGTTTTGCTGTGTGTTGGTTTTTTACAAGTTGCCAGCCCTAAACCCCATTCTCTCATGAAAAGGGATACAAATTTCATCAATAATCTGGGTACTTTATAGTCTAAGGCGCGTCTTTTTTTCTCGGCGGATTTTGACAAAACTTTTTGTGTGAGTGTTTATTACCACCCAAGGATGATCCCTATCGAAAATCAGAAAAATCGAAAAATATTTATTGTGAGTTATTGCCCGCGTTTAAATTTTAGCTTGTAAACACTCTTGAAGGGACAATTCTTGACGAAAATCGGTGTTTGTTATCACCAAAGGATAAACCCTATCGAAAATCAGAAAAATCGACAAAGATTTAGTATGAGTTATTGCCCTTGTTCTTGAAAACGCTCTCACATTTGGGCTCTTAAACACTAAAAGGTACAATTCTTGCCGGATTTTGACAAAACTTCGTGATGTTATTCAGTATCGCCCCCAAAAGTTCATAAGAAGTGTATGGCTGAAGGTTGAATATATCATACTGGTAATTGTTACTGTGCTGCCAAATATTTCTATTTAAAATCAAAGCTGCCAGTGGGCGTATATTACCTTGCCTGGCAAGCTATCTTTCCGAAAGGAATAGCAAATCATGACTTATTTTATTTACCACGCCGTGGAAAATAGCTGTAAGGGTACTTATGGCTATTTATCACGCTAACCACGCCAACCACACCAGTGGTAAATAGCCACTGCCCCAATAAGGCGCAAAAGAGTAGGACGTAAAACTCCATTCCTTTCATTTCATTTTAACTCCTGAGAAATTTAACATATGACATATATCATAAGGATAATAAATGGTAAGTATTACAGTCGTCAGCTTGTTAATAACTGTCTACTTATTCTAGACAATCATGATAATTTTATTGAAGTTACTTATTAATGGGTTGTCATCTAAGATGCAGCTATAATCTAATTTGTTGTAAGTTAAGGTGAATTATGTCACACTGTTCTTAAGGAGATTGTAAAGAGGTTTTCTAAAAAAAATTATACGTATTGGGGACACTGATTACATCTCTTTGCACCATTCCAATTTTCAATCAGACGTCTATGGTTCCTGTAATTCCACTAATATAAGAGTTTTATGGCGTCACCCCAGCGAAATTTGCTGCTTGTATCATATAAGACCTTTGCGGGAGTGAGGTTACATTTAGTTTTAGTAGAATTGCTAGACCTATTGATTGAAAATTGGAATGGTGCAAATTGACGCTATCATTGTCCCCGATACACATACAAAATTTAGAAAACCTCTTTACAAGCCCTTAAAGTTGTCATTAATATGAAATGTCCAAAGCCGCGAATAGACGAGGTACGGTGTCCGATGCGGTATACGATGCGGAACGCTCGATACAAACAAAAATAGTACGTGGTACGTTTCCGGACACGGTGCGGACACGATTCGTTTCCTCTATTTTCTACTGTATCGATAATACCACACGGTACACCACACTGTACCTTTACCTCGTCCATTCGCACCTTCACTCCCAACGCCTTTGGAGCCGCGGTAGCGCAGTGAGTTAAACGCTTACTCCCTAACCAGGACACCATTTCTCAAAAATTCGTTCGACTGAACTTACGCGTCAAGTGAAGAAAAACGTTATTTTTGACATTATCAAATCGTTAATTCTCTAATATAGTTCATTCTCATATAGTTCATTTTCTTATAGTTCATTCTCTTATGTAGTTCATTCTATTATATAGATCATTAGAGTATATAGTTCATTCTATGATGTAGTTCATTCTATTATATAGACCATTAGAGTATATAGTTCATTCTTTGATGTAGTTCATTCTCTTATGTAGTTCATTCTCTTATGTGGTTCATTCTCTGATGTAGTTCATTCTCTTATGTAGTTCATTCTATTATATAGTTCATTCTATTATATAGTTCATTCTCTTATGTAGTTCATTCTCTGATGTAGTTCATTCTATTATATAGTTCATTCTCGTATGTAGTTCATTCTATTATATAGTACATTCTAGTATAGTTCATTCTCATATTATTCATTCTCTGATGTAGTTCATTCTATTATGTGGTTCATTCTATTATATAGTTCATTCTAGTATATAGTTCATTCTCATATAGTTCATTCTCATATAGTTCATTTTCTCATGTAGTTCATTCTCTGATGTAGTTCATTCTATTATATAGATCATGATTTAATTCTACTTATTTTTCATTTATGTTTTCTGAATTATCATTTTTGTTTACTGAATATTAAGAATAGTAAACAAAAATGATAAATATGTAGAATTAAATCATAATTCAGCAAAAAAATAGTAAACAAAAATGTTAATTCAGTAAACATAAATAGAAATTAGTAAACAAAAATGCTAATTCAGCAAACAGAAATAGAAAATAGTAAACAAAAATGTTAATTCAGTAAACAGAAATAGAAAATAGTCACCAAAAATGTTAATTCAGTAAACAGAAATAGAAAATAGTAAACAAAAATGTTAATTCAGTGAACAGAAATAGAAAATAGTAAACAAAAATGTTAATTCAGTGAACAGAAATAGAAAATAGTAAACAAAATTGATAATCTAGCAAACAAAAATGAAAAATAATAAGAATTTAATCATAAATAAGAAAAATTAAACATGTCCTAAACAAACCACCGTACAATTGATGCAAAATTTGATTTCAAATCAGTTGTGTAGATTATAACATTTGTGCATAATTTTAACATCCTATGATGTAGTTCATTCTCTTATGTAGTTCATTCTATTATATAGTACATTCTAGTATATAGTTCATTCTCTAATATAGTTCATTCTCTAATATAGTTCATTTTCTAATATAGTTCATTCTCTTATAGTTCATTCTCTTATGTAGTTCATTCTCTGATGTAGTTCATTCTATTATATAGATCATTCTAGTATATAGTTCACTCTCTTATGTAGTTAATTCTCTAATATAGTTCATTCTCTTATAGTTCACTCTCTTATGTAGTTCATTCTCTGATGTAGTTCATTCTAGTATATAGATCATTTTCTTTTGTAGTTCATTCTCTTATGACTGTTGTTTATTCTCTTAAAGGAGCATGCCGCTTTTTTGTAGGCCGAATTTTCTTTTGCTTAAATGTTTGAAAACTAAACATCAAAATATAGAAAAATGTGTCCTTTAAGGTTTTAACTTGATAAATCGCCATTAACTGTTTAACGCCAAAACTATTTGAAATATTACGTAAGGTTCTTAAGTTCGTTATGCTTGTTGGAAGCTGTTAGAAAACTAGTGTACGGATTTGAGAAAAAAAAAACACCTCGTTGGGTTGTAGAGGAATATGTTTTCTACTTATTCTAAAGGATTCGACTAATAATATCGAGCCATTATAAAGCCAAACACCAAAACTGGACCGAACTGCTTTATTAACAATTAGTACTGTCAGTCTTTATTTAACCCTTTTAAAACAAATTCGATTGATCAAGTTGATACATAGATATAAATATAGCATACTTTAGGAATCCTTTAAGGTATAATTTACGACCTTTTTCATAATGAAAACTTTTTACAAAAACCGGAATACCCCTTTAAACAGAATTCTACCCTGTGACTGTCTTCAAAACAAAGTATGAGTCAAGTACCACAAATTGAAGAAAAAAAGTCTAGAAATTTCGTTGAATTTTATTTGCGACAATGTAAAGAACGACAGTATAAAGTATATTGAGCTTTAAAACATTAAAATGATTCTAAAATAATACACCGACATATAAGCTAAATGTTTGCTTTAAAGATCTGGTATCATGTCAACGAGTCAACCAGCTATATAGAAAAAAACTCGACATCGTATTCATACCATTATGTTGGGCGTACGGTCTGGCTAACGCATACGGATTTGGATTTTTTCTAGGTTTCGCCTCATTCTCAAATTCTGAAGAAAAAAAAAACGATCCCATTAAAAATGAAGATCTCGATACATTGTAATCCTTGAGTAAATATTGTTTAAAAAAAAAAAGGGGACATGTGCGCCATTTTGGAAGGTTGATTTGATTCTTGAATTAATTTATGTTAAAGATGGGTTTCCTTATTTTTTAGTGTCAAATTAAGCAAACTATTTGATTAATTGGTGTTTCTAATCAAGTATTCTTAATCATATCATTATGTTCTTATTGCATATAATTAAGAGTTTTAACCAAATTAGAAGTGTCCATGTATGTACAGACTGGATAAACAAAAAAGACTTTTCGACCTTTCTTGATCGGTCACTCACTTGAATTCTGCTAGTAATTCTCTTCTAATTTAGCTTATTATGAATTAAATATGTGAGACAAACTGGTAATTTTCCAAGTCATTAG